CGGTTATATAGGCCAGCTCGTAAGCTCGACCCGTAGTCCGAGATAGAATGTCGGTTAGGTACGTTCTCGAGGTTAAATCACGAGAAGTCCAGAGGCAGAGAGAAATCCCTTTTTATTATACGCTCCTTGCGCAATAGCCTACCTCCTCTGGTCATAACTCATCAGAGGTGGACGGCTTAATACATTCGGAAGCCGGCGTTTTCCCTCCTCAGCTAACGAAAAAAAAAAAAAAAAGAAAAATACATAACCGCCGTGAATCCCGAAGTGGGCCGGAATTAAGCCCGAGGAAAACACATTATACCGCCGCCCGGGAATATACGGGTATATTTTACGATTTATGGAAATTCCGGCCGCGTAACGTTTCCGTGTCGCTGGTCAGGTCCGATCGAAATTCGCGGAAATTCGCGCCACCGACCGCAATAAAACGATAATCCCCGAAATTGATCCTTTAAATGATAGAAACGCGTGGGCGCGTACCATCGTCGAAAATATTGCTTTTGTAATGAATTCGGGGTTTCCTTTAAACAAAGGGTATGAATATACACGATGAAATGCTCGTGAACAAATGATAGAGAGATTAAACGGACGGACTATATATCCGCTTGCAAAGGGGTTCGAGCGTTTTTCCTGTTTTTTGGAAGATAAACGGATCGAAAATGGCTAGAACCTAAAATCCTGGATGTAGGTACTTTAATTCATTAATACAACGTGAGGTGGAAGTTGGTTGAATCCAAGTGAACCTTTTAACGCTCAGTATGACGTATACGTCATATCTAGAAAATCATATTTCCAGGAGTTTTCTAAAAATACAAATGGCGTGCACGTAGTAGGACCATTTCCGAGTTAACTAATCCCGAGAAATAATTTTTCCCCTGGAAAAAGTATTCGGGCATTAAAGTGTTAAAAATAAATTTTTAAAAATGTGTAAATAGGTTGATTTAGTATAGATATTTTTGACTTCAAAATAACAAGGTACATACATATCATTCTTATACTCAGTTTTGAAATGACGATATTTCATGTTCACTGTCGAGGAGCCTTGGAGCACTCATCGAGAATTTACTGTAGTTGAATTAGAAATCTTTCTGTCATTGAAGGCCCAAATTTTGTTTCCAGCCTCAAAGTTACAGCCATCGCGCGATTTAGCAATCCGAATAAATATGTATTGAATTAAAAAGAATTAAAATTGGATGAAATTTCACGATACTTTTTTCCAAGTGTCAACATAGAAGGCGTACAATATTCTCGACCGAAAAATTATCAAGCACGCCAGCGAGTGGTCAATTTATCGAACAGCTTTGAAAGCCATATCGAAAGCAGACAGAAAAAAAGGGTAGCAACGATCGACGGTTAAAGGAAACCTCCCCCACCGTAATTTCGCGTGGATGCAGCGCGCGCTGACCATCGCAATGGAATTGAAATTGTTCGTGATGAAATCCCACCACCTCCATCCCCCCTTCTCTTCCGTCTGTCCAGAATCAAGCCTAACTAACTGGCAACGAAAACTGTGAAAGGACGGCGAACGGAGATAGGCGGAGAAGGGAGGGGAATAGTGACACGCGACACGGAGAAACGAAATGAAACTGCTGAGAGTCGAAAGGAGAAATTGCTCTTTTCAACCAATCACCCCCCTCCCACCCATACACACACACACACAGAGCCACTGGCCCGTTCTTTTTTCCCTCGTTTTCTCTCGTTCCTCCGCGAGCTCGAATCAACGTGATTAATTACGATATCGCTTTTTACTCGCTGTTGTATCCCGCCCATGCCATTCGATCGCCACTTTACTTTTTACTCCAGAACCCCCAGCCCTTTCCAAGTCGTGGCCTGTTTCAGAAAACGCCCGAGAAACGCTTCCCCTCGGCTGTTTTTTTTTTTTGCTGTGTTCCGTGAATTCGTTCGTTTGATATCGTTGTGAATGAAGAGTCGTGCTCGTAGTATATGAGTCAATGGTTGACAAAACACTGGTAGAAGGGGATAGATTCTCGAAGGGTGTGATGGTAGATTATTATTAGACACATTGTTTTTGATATACTTTTTCGTGTGTAATTGTTATGGTTCTGATGTGAATTCGTAAGAGTTTTCTTTTTAATTTGCATCGAACAGAAAAAGTTGCGAGGTTAAGATGAGAAATAGTTTTTACTTTAACCACAATACAGAAGAATGAAAAATTTTAGGGTAGTTTTGTAGATATATACACAGGCAGTATATATAAAACACATACAGAAGTTGATGTTATGAAATAATAAAAATGAAACAAATTGAAGAAGTGATAACTTTTTTATCCGCTACAACTTATAATACTATCTATTAAAAGACCTCGATTCCTTTCACTGCACAAGCTTGGAACCATTAAACAATTAAGTATCGTGGAACTTATTAACGTCGAAGATATAAATATTTTATATACGCGTCAGCCTAAGATCACATAATGACTGAAACGTATCCGTTATTAAAAGAAAATTCATTTCGTCATTAAAACATCATAAGCTCGATAATCCTTTTTCCGTGTGAACCAAAATGGCGTCCGTCGGAATTTCCCTGGTAGCGTACCGCAGGATCGCATCGTCAAATATTGATTAACAATCTCGTCGAGCCATCCCATAAACGACAATAAATTCTGTTAAATGGACAGGAATAAAGGGGTGACGCGGTCGAATTTTATCGAGGCCTTAAAAATATTTATACAGCGAAACGCGACGCGGGTGGTATCCCCGGGATAGAATGAAGCATTAAACGGAACGATCGGGGGAGAGCGAACGACCGGCCACGGTTATTACGCGTTTCTCGTTCGTTCGACGTGGTAGCCGACTCGTAAAGCCTCTACCCCCGTCGGCAAATTAATCATAAAGTTTCCGAACAACAATCCCTCCGCGTTGTATTTCGAACGGCCATACCGCGAGATCGAACTTCTGTTATCCGTACTTATAATGAGACACGATTCTCATGATCACGGGTTCATCAGAATTATACAGGGTGTTCAAAAGAAAAATATCTAGAACTTCAGAAGCTTCTAACACTCGTTGAATATGAATTAAAATTTCTAATCAACATTAGCTCTTAAAATCCATCCCTTCGATGGGAAAGTACAGAAGTTTATTGTTACATTTCTTACAGATGTTCCGTATGTTTTTCTTCTATTTCAATGGAAAACTCACATCTGAGTCGATGTATGTTTTAAAATATTATTCGTAAATTGTATATTTACCATTTCTACTTTAGAATGAGAGGCGAGCATTGTTAACGACGCGGTGATATCACTGACCATATTGTGGATGAATAGCGAAGACTAGGTGTACGTTTGTCAAGTAATCTCTGTTGATATGAGCAATACTCTCTGGTGTTGACATACAATCTTGAAGTAGTGTGCTTCTAAACCAATTCTCCTGTTTACATTCGATGCGTCGCGAGGTGACTCACATACGACATCGAACGCTCGTAAATAGAAACTTTGATTTTAAATCGATAGGATGTTTACAATAAGAACCTATGATTAGATATCTTTTACTTCACTCGGTGAATACTACATATAAGCCTCTAAAATCTTAGTCTCTTTTTTTAATACCCTATAGATCCTAAACTTAGAAATAACAACCTAACTCAGACCTCTGATAAACACAAATTACACTCTACATTTACATACTAATCCATTCAAGTTCCCCAAAAGTAAACTCATTAAATTACTTCGTAATTTACGCACGATCAAAGTTTCACTTATAAACATACACACATCACGTTTTGGTTCAGGATGTTTTATCCTTATCGAGGATGTCTTATTTGAAAGGTATTTCGAGATACAATAGTACTAACGAGGACACAGCGTTGAAATAGATCGATATCGCCAGATTTCGAACGACGCAACGGCCGAAGCGAAAGCGGCTTTAAAAGCGCAAAAATATGTCATCCAAGGGGAAAGTTCATTTCCGTTCGGACAGATTCGTTCAATCTCGATAGAATTGTTCCATGGCCGATGAAATTCATTCTCCAGCTACTCTGTGGAGACTGCACTGTCAAATTGCGCGATATCCATTCAAGTTTCGCCCTCCCCCCGCCCCCCTGAGCGGGATTAACGAATTCCACAAAGCGGCCCGAGGGGATCGCGGTGAACTTCTCGATTTAACGACTGGGAACAGTGGCGGGAAGAAATTTCGAGTTTTACGGTATCTTCATTGAATAACTAAAGAGAAGACTTAAGGCAGAAGGAAAGGGGTGGAAGGGGTGAAGTATCGCCCGGGAAGATACCGGATCTAATTCCCCGCCAACGCTCACGGAACTTTCGCAAACTAAATTGCTCCAGGGCCGAACGAAAGTTTTCTATCGACTCTGTTTGCAACAAAGTATAAGATAGAGCAACCACCTATAGTTTAAGCACACTATAACACAATTATCCAACTTTCCGATTGATATACAAAAGACAACCGCCTAATTGTTACCGCGAATCTGGTGAAAAACACCTCTCTAACTGAACCAGAAAATTATACAGTAAATCCTGGATCAGTGTCCGAAGGCTCCTCAGCACTGAACATTAAATATTTCATAAACTAATGACCACATGTGGGTGAAAGAAATATTATTGGCTTCAGAATTCCAAGCTCTATCACTATGCTAAGCCTGATTAAGCCAAGAAGCCTTCGAGCACTCATCGACGATCTACTGTATTTCATATAACATCGATTAAACAAAGGATTCGTAAGAAACCACGAAAAGAGATCGATCTCCTTAACCTCCTCGAATTCACAATCTATCCACCATTTACCAGATCCAACCTCGAATATACATATATCGAACCACTTGAAATACTAAAAATTCCAGGTGGTATTTTCAAAATGAACGAAAATACTACACACAAGCGACAAATTTATTCTACATACAGGATCGTTGATCGATACGGAAGCACGAGCACTGGCACGAGAAAGACAGAGAGAGCAAAGGCACGCGGCCCGTCAAAACAAACACCGAGAGCACCGGAAACCACGGAGCTTACGATCTATTTGATCTACCTTGCGATCGTGGCAGGTCGCGACGAGACGGGGACATCGAACGCGTACGATCCACCACCTGGGCCCCTCTTTTCTCGTCCTACCCCAGTGATTCTTCGATTTTTGGTCGAGGTGGATGTGTGCGTTCGTGCGGTAAAAATTGTTTCCGTTCGAAGAGATGGTGGCTGACTTGCGGCGTCCGATCGTCGAGATTTTTGGGAGCTTGCGGTCGCACGTGAGAACACCACACGGCCGAGTGGCGCGACTGAACTTGTTGGGGAGGGAGGGCGGGGAAAGGGTCGTAGAAAGGAAATACGACGGAAGATCGAGAATACGAGAAGGGTTGAAGAATATCTAAGAACAGGGGGGGTGGTGGAATGGGGATGAAAGGGTTTCACAGAGAAACGGGCAAGATTGATGCAGTTCGTATGGAGACAGTGGAATTATTGAGGAGAAAAGAAATAATGAGTGAAGGGTTGGGGAATGTGAGGGGGTGGAAAATAGGTGAAGACTGAATATTGAGGGCTGGTTGAGTCACAGAAAGTAAAGTATCGATGAAAAGTGGGGAAACAGAAAGGGTTGAACTGTATCTGAAAAGAGGGTGGAATGTGAGATTGGACGTGATAGAATGTCATGGGTGTGGGAAGGAATGAGGGCAAGATTGATGCAGTTAGTATAGTGACGGTGGAATTATTGAGGAGAAGAGAAAGAAGGGACGGAAGGTTGAGAAATGTGAAAGGATGAAAAATAGGGAAACTGAAGGTATAACATATTCTCGAACGAATATTCTTTGCAACTGGTCGTCAAGAAGACGCGAGAAGGGTTGTTGAAGGGTTAAAAAATAGCTGAAAACTCGATGAAACAGAAAGTGAGTATAAAAAGATGTTACAGGAGGTACAAAAAAATGTAGTGACATCAGAGACAGGGACGTATAAAGATCATTTATTTTTCAAATTATTTCCATTGATACGGTTTTTAATGCCCCAAAGAACATGTTTCTGAGATTGAAACGATTGAAGGTATCGGAGATTCGATACGCGGGCTGCCGCCACATTTCAGCACGCGCGAAGATGCGGGGAATTCCCTGGGAAACATGTATATCTGACGTGAGTAATGATCCTGGCGTGAATCGCGATACGTGATCGTTACTCCCCTACATATAAACGCTTCCTTCTTGTGGCTGGTGCAACCACGTATCGTTCCAGGTCGCCAACGATGTTTGTTGCACCCTCAGGATCGTGGATATAACCGAAGCGAATGTAACTCGTGGTGAACGAAACAGAAAGGAATATTTCTCTTGATTAAAATCAGCACAATGTTGATTTGGAAGTGAAGAATAATGTGATCAGCTATCTGGAAAATTAAAATTGCTTGCGGAGTATAATAACCCTTTATGGACCAACGTACTAGGGGTGTTTTCTAAGTTCTGGGATTTACGATCTGACTGAATAATGGTAACGACTAATGATTTTAGGTACAGAAAGCCCTGATGGACTGTCAAAAAGTTTTTTCAGGTGACTTTAAAAAACTAGTGTCTAATATGGACGGAAATTCATAAAACAGACAATTTATAATACAATTCTCTGGACTTTGGAAACACCCCTCGTATATTGTACTTGCAAAGAGTATCGTACAATTTAATTTGAAACTGAGTGAACGTGAACAGCATAGAAGTATAACTCAACCGTTAATTAATTTGAACTAATTGAAATGTGAATAAAATAGGAAATTCGAATTTCACGTGAAACTATTTGAAAAAATGTTCAGCATTGCCAATCGACAATGAAAATTCAACGTTTCGCTCGAAGTAGAAAAGAAAATTATGATCAGACACGCTGGGATAGCTTCGATATTAATTTTCGTTAAAATTGTCGATATTTTTCACGATGCGACGGTTAATAAAATGACTGAGCGTAAGCAGCGAATTTTCGAGGTTCCATCGTGAATTCTCGGCTGGACAAACGCACAGATATTTTAATACCTCCCGCACCAAACATCGTAGAAACCTACCGTTTCGCTGACGTCAAACAGGCGTTCGCCGATGAAATCTCGACAAAGACAGGGGGGGGGGGGAAATTTCTACGCCTAGAGTTCAACACGCCCTTTCTGTATGCACTTGCCGCGCACCCCTTCTTCGCGGGGGAAACGTTCGCGGTGCGACGTTAAAACGCAATTTCATCGAACGATGCAATGTTTCCTTTTGGAGGAATGAATGATATTTCGATATGAATCCACGGGACATGACGTGTAGATACACATTCATGCTCGAAAGCTTTGAATCCGTCATTCAATGAGGAACTAATTTAGATTCTGTGATTGAAAAATATTACCCATTGAATTCGATTTAGTCGACTAAACGTTACAGTGACTCACATATGCATTCACAGACTTCTGAAATAACAATTAGCTGTGAAAGCTTTTATGTAATTTCTTTACTTTATCATCTTTTTGTGATTTTCCAGTGAACTTCACATTTTGTCAAGAAGAAATTAAATTGGCTCAAGTTCAGTTTACACTGAATTTGGAATCCAAACCTTGGATTAAGGTAGATTAGAATTGTTTCAAATAAATTATACAAATATCAATTAGAATTGCGTGGAGTCAGGGTTAGATCCATGTTAACTCACTGACGACCAAATAACACCTAGGTTATATCTACATATTATAAATCTTCATTAAAATCGTGACAATTTTGCATTAAATTCCCTCATTGGTCCCTATTATCAACCCCACAGAAAATTTCTAACGCCCAAGAATCGATTCGAAATTCAAGAAATTCATCCATCAAGACCACCCGGGGATGAGCTTTCACGATGTGGTGAGGTTTCAGTGCAAGCTAGGTCTAACGTCAAGTTTCGTGACGTAAGGATAATTCAAAGTTACGGAAACTTGTCCCTCGGTGGCACTCCGGTCCCGCGGATATTACGCGTCTGGGGATACGCAAGGGAACAAGACCGAAACTTCGCGGCCCCGTGCTTGTAATTGAAGGAAGATTCACGGGTCCGTAACCACAGGGTGGTGGTGTGTACCTGTGCGCGTTCGAGGAGAGGAGGAACCATTCATCGCGAACAAAGGGGCTCGAGCACCCTTCTCGTGTCTTTTTTCTCCCCTGGGCCTAGCCTCGTCTAGGGGTGGTTTGGTGGATGGATGCGGGACGGAGGGGGAGGTGGAAGTATCATCTTGAAAGCCGATCGCGCTACTTCGAAGTTGGCAGAGGCTCGTTCAGAGTCGGATTCTCATTAAAAATTCACGCGAGCCAAGCGAGAAGAGCGCTCGGCCGGGCTTAATCAATCAGGGACCGCTTAAGCATTCGGCCGTCTTACTTGTTCTTCGTCGAGGGGGTTAGAAAGTCAGCTGGAAAGTCTTCTGGGCGTTCTTACGTGGACTCCATTATCGCCGACTCGAGACACTCTGTCTTTGAGATCCTCCGACTCCTCGATCGCGCTATCCTTTCGGAGGGGTGGGCGGTTCATTAAACCGTAGGATGGTTCTTTAGTTTTCATACTCGCCAACGGTATTTTATAATTGCAAAGAAGTTACGGAGAATTTTTGGTCAGTGATAGAAAGTTTCGTGAAAGGGTGCAGGTCGTGGAAATGTATGTTGATAAAGAGAGACTAGTAGATTTGTGGAAGTATCAGGTGTAGGTAGTCCACTATTTTTTGTGAAACATTCATTTCGAAATAATTCAAATACTTATCCTAAACATACTAACTTTAGAATTACCAGCGTTGAATGTATACTAAAGTCAATTGTATAATACGTCAATATTTATAGTATCTATACATTGTTGTAAAATATACAATGAATTCCAATTCGCAACGACCCATCTTCTGAAATTTACACAACGACTGCTGCAACGAGTTACCGTTTTTCCTTGCATCCAGTAAAAACAAGCACGCCATAATCAGCGCCAGTACTAAAGAAGCGTACAAATTACCGAACAATCGACCCATTCTCTTCTCAACAAGCAATCTTCTCCGTATTACTGCGAATCGAATCGAATAATACTGCACCTCCCGAGCATTGGGATATCCCATCGTGCCGGAATAAATTATTCTCGAGACTGTTGTCGCGATCCTGAATAACGTTTTTCGTCCCTTCTGACTAATGAGCTCCTCGAGCACAGTGACAGCAACAGCAGCAGCCGAACCGGTGCTAGCGAATCGAACGTGGAAAAAAAATCTCATTGCAACGGGGATTCGATGATTCATCGAGAAATCGAGACGGACGGGTCACTCAGCAGATTACATGTTTAAATATGAATAAGCCGCCGTGCGCGCGTGCACAGAGAGGAAGGGAGCGGCGGGATACGCGCAGGGAACGTCGATAATTTAGCGCAATCGTGATAATTCAGCCTGAAATGCAATTCCCCCGCTGACAACGGGCATCTTCCAACCCCCCTCCCCTTCCTCCCATGACGTTATAAATTTTCGTTTGGCGGCCGATATTACCGGGGAACGTTAAAAATTCCTGTAAAATACGGCACCCCGTCAAAAGTCGGATCAGAACTTCTTCGAGCCGATAAATCTCGCGGGAGATATATCCGCGCCCCGTCAAAAACAACTCGCAATCCCCTCCCGCGGATATATGAATCATTATTTACGAAAAATCCTGCTTGGGCATTTCCGCGAAGTGAATCTCCGTTCGAATATCGGAATTGTATTTTTCTGGCCACCCATTCCCACTCTGCATGGGTCTTTTTTCATTTTAATTATCGATTTGTTAACAATATATCGAACGAGAACTGTGAAGAATTTATCGCTGGTGGTTTTCGATTTTCATTCTTCGAACGGATACTGTCGTGCGGTTTATCGGGAATTCTATCATGTATTGTGGTCGCAAGGGGGGGGTTCTACGGAGAATTACAGGTGTATTTTTGTTTTACAGTGGAATTGGTCTCTTGTTTCTTGTTTCTTTATCTGGAAAAAAGAATGGTATGGGAGTCTGTTTACTATTGCACAGAATCCTATCGATTTTTGTTATTTGAGCACACTGTAGAATCAAGTTACAGTGAAATTCTGTTTACGTGAACGAAATTCCAGTAGTGCCTGATTAACTGAACTCTAGCTGAGTAGGAGGAAATAGGTGAACTCCTATTATTATATACGACCTGATTACACGAACTACCTTGGCCCCAGACAGGAGTTCTACTGCACTTGGCCATAATTACGGTGATTTATAGGAAATGATTATAATGTAAGTATCAAGAGTATATAATTCAACGATTAACAAATCGTCAGATTTGAGTTCAGTTGATCTTCAATCGTTACATCTGTAGTGTATCTGAATTCATAATTTTAATTACCAATATAATTGGACAGAACTTCGTTTCCCATTCTAAAGTCTTCAGAACATTAACAATCGTCCATAAATACAATCAAATTTCTTCAAAACTCTATTTTACTATGCTGTACGAACCAGAAGATGTAAAAAAATGCATAAACATCCGCAGTCTAATCATCAAACCTTTTCCCATACTTTTTGCTGGTAGTATAGTAAATTAACCCCCTCCACCGTCCCCCCAAAAAGAAGTATCACGAGAGATGAGGAAGATTCAGGGTCCTCGAGGTTCCCTAATGACCGATGCCTGACTCGCCGCGTTTCAGGGACCATCGGGCTCAATTACCCTCGGAATTAATGTATGAATCAGGTACATACACACGTGCTGGTAGCGTCTCTGTCCAAGCCCCCACTCCCGCCCCTCGTATGTACGTGTTGCCCCAGATTTCGTCTTGCTCTCGAACACCGGCCCATTGACCTTTCGTTGGGCGGGCGGCCGAATCGCCGGAAATTCGCGGACCACGCGGAACGGCCGCTGAGGAGAAGAGAGGGAATGAGACAGAGAGAAAGAAAGAGGGGTACCAGCGTAAAGGAAAAGTAGCTAGCGCGCGGGAGGCGATAGAGCCACGGCCCCGAGATCGATGGGGTCGTATTAATTATAACAACCCGGAAGAGCACTCGAGAGCCAACCCCTTTCGGCCACTCGACCGCCTCCGTGGACGAAACGGAATTCGCCACGACGGCGGAAAAAAATCTTGTGACTCGGGGAACTACTCGTTGCTGCCGGAACGAGTATCCGAGTGTCGCGCGCAACAACCACCCCCTACAACCCTCCCTCCCACACGAAGCAACCTCCTTCGTTCTACGAGTGGTGTGTACATGGTCGTGAGTAATTATACACGCTGGTATATCAACTAGTTTTGGATTTTAGTATCTGCTTTGGGGTTGGATAATATTCCTTGGAGTTGGAGGAATAATTGTGAACTTAACCATTTAACAGTTCAAGGGTTGTGTCGATATTGTACAAGTGGTTATGTCAGAGTTTTGGCGAATTCGGTGTTCATTGTTCGTTTCGTGTATACAGGGTGAACCACGAATCGTGATCAGTAGAGATTAGTCTGTTATTAGCAGTCCGATCGAAAATGTTTTTATCGGGTGGTCTCAAGAGAGCTTTTACGTGATTATAGCAGATTTTTTGTCAACTCTATTTTTTTTCATGATTTTTCAAGGTCACCTTCAATTTTTTGCAAATACACCTATAATGTTTTTACGCCTAACACATGTTATGTTATGATACTTACCGAATTCATCTTGAAATCCTCTAACAGATAGGCATGCTTCACCCTCAAACGACTGATTTGACATTTGACCCATACCAGAATTTTCATTACATACTTTAGACCTGGCTTTTCGATACAGAAATATTTTTTAATAATGCTTAAAATATGAAGAGGAAGGTAGAGTGTATAAAGATAGATTTCGTTTGACTTCTGTCGTTCGTAGAAGCAGGCTATAAATATCCTCAAAAACCCTCACCCCCTTATCTAAACTGATACATATCATGCTTAACATAACACCCCCGAAGAACACGATGTTTACAGCTACCAATCAGCAACACGTGTCGTGTGTGTACCAAGAGGAATGGGACTGGAAGGTAAGCCTCGATTTGTATTGAAAACGTATAGAACGCTGAGAATAGCACAGTGGTGTGCGAACGGAAAGCTCTGAAGCGGGTTACATTTCATTCTCGAGACGTGTCTGTTTGTCTTCCGACAATACTCGCGAAAAGATTTCGAATCGATCGGAATAAACGCTCGAAAAAATCGTTTCACCTATTTTTAAAATAACAAGGAAGATTAACTCGATGATATTTCGGAAAATTTTCATCCCTTTATTTTTAATAAAACTGGGTTGCAACCGAATTGTCGTAGATTGTATTCAACATTTTCGCATAAAAGTGACGCTTCTACATTTTCTCTCGTTTACCTCGCAGCTTGGCCCAACAACATCTTCGAGGCCATTTGCAAGCCCTGAAAGATGTCGTGGCAAGGAAACAACCCCTGTGTCCCGTGTGTTAATTCACTGCCTAAACAGGCGGGGGCGGCTGCTGGATTTCTTTTTTAATTAGTACGCGCTAGCTTTTAATTAAAACACCCGTATTCATTGACACCGGGGAAAGAGAGATGCCTAGAGATTTTCTTCGTCCGGGCGTCGAAGAAAATTCTGAAGGGGAAAAATAATACGGGAAAACCGCGCTCGGGCCCGTCCATTGATAGCGCGTAATTTAAACACCGTTGAATATTCTGGAAGTTACGGCTTCAATATTATAATGTGGATCCACGGAAATTTTGCTCAAGGCCCCTTAAATATTCCGTCACTCGCTTTTGGGATTGTCTGCACAAAGATAAAACTCCTGTGCATAACATTAGCTTGATTCGATCTTTTTGCATTTTTTCGCGTATTCTCCCCATTTGGACAGGTTCTACATTTTTCTGAAACATTTATTACATACTTGAACATATATTATACACATCGAATACCATTCCAGTATGTTGAATTCATTTTGCTGAAAATATGCTGGAAGATTGATAAACAGGAAATCGAATAATATTTGAGGGGATTCAAAAGTGATATAAATTGGTATGTTATCAGACGGGCAGAAAATTATTTACTTAGCACAGTAATGCCTCTATCGAAACTTGGTTTAATTTTCGAAGCAACGATAGAAAGAATAAAATAATCAGAAAATGTAATGATGTTTGTGCTTGTCACACAGTAACTAATAAACCACGAAAATCGACAAGCTTAGAATGAAATCGTACGAAATTTCAAACGGGAAAAAAAGTGGCTATAAATCGCTTGTCTGTATCCATTTTTCATGACCAGTGTTTCGTGCGGGCTAGAGGACGAAACGTTTCTGCGTCTTTTCCGTAGAATGAGTCGAAACTACGGGGCGAAAGTTTCGGGTGGGTGAGTCCCGCGGGACGCTGTCAAGCACAGTCATCAGAACTGTCCGACGAAAACGTCGTCGGTAGAGATTTTGCTCTGCTTCGCAGCCAATTCGAGAAGTATCTTTTCAACACCAATGAACAATTCAACTATATGATAAAAACATTATTTATTTATCACTTCTTTCGCAACTTCTAGAGTAGATGATGAAAAAGAAAACCTAATAATCATGGGTACAAAAATTAATATTTTCGAAGTTATAAACAGTTTTGTTTCGTTTAAGCTACTGACTTTCTCATTTCAGAAGCTATCGTACCATATACCTTATCATTGTTTCTTTTTTTAGTTACAGAGGATTTTTCACAATTCTTATTCCTTTGTTTTTACAATTTCCTTCATAGTTTCTATACGGTACCGATAACGCCCTAAACAATTAAGTCCTTTAACCTAAACAATAAATAGTTAATAGCGTCGAAAATATTAATCTTTTGACCATGTGTATTAAGATCTTTTTCATCACTCGACGAGTACTATCAACCCCAGAACTTACGAACCCATTTGTTTCGCATCGCCCTCTACAATAATGTATATTGCAATACAGGTGAATAAATAGGACGCCGAAACTAATTTGAAAACCAGTTGCGTACATTACGGGTTGTTTTCGTGCGGCGCGCAAAAAGGCAAACCGATTCCTCGAACGCGCGACAGCGTGACACGAAGAACGACGGCGCAAAAGGTTGGAAAACAAGGGGAGAGGGATGATGATGAGCGACGTAGATACCGTGGGAGGGGATAGGTATCGCGTGAGTTCGCCGAGCGTCGACCAGAGGGCGGTGGATATCGAACAACATGGCCGTCTGAACACCGACACCCCGTGCAAGTCTTCGCGAAGCTGACCAGCCGGATTTCCAGATAGCAAGTCAAATCCCACCGACGCGGCCGACACGTACGCCTAAAGTTCGTGAGTAATTAGACATTTTCTTCGCGACTCGCATCGGGTTCGTTGTTTCGCGGCAGGGAAAACAGAACGAATCGGAAAATTTGTGGAAAAAAACAGTATCTCGGTGTCGATCTGCGTGCTTTGTCCGGCGAAAGGACACGCACCCGCCTCGCGTGTGTCTACGCCACCCGTCTGCGCTGGTGTGCGTTGACATTGGCGATCAATAGAGCCGATGGCTGACAACGATAGGCTCGATCGGATCGTTCGTTCTGTATCGTTGATCGATAGAGTTGATTTTATGATATTCATCGTCGATGAAAGTTCGGAAATTGTCTTTAATCTCGGGGAGAGGAATTTATTTGGAGTAATCACTTCGTAGTGTGTGTGTATTGGAATGTGAATGGTACGTAGTGTCATGCAACAGTTCCTGTCATTTCTTTTTTTCTTGAACTTCGTTTGTTTTAATCATCTTGGAAAGTATGGGGTTTTTATAAGTATGTATGACAGAGGGTATTTTCTTCTTTTAAATTACACTTTTAACTGTGCAACTTTTCTTTATAGAATAATAGTATTTCCTTCGAGTGATTAGAAACATTTTGTCATTGTACTGCAGTTACATCTGAGTTCCCTATTAATTTTTAAAATTCGTTTGGTTCATCCCAGTGGTAATTTAGTTCATACTTGGAAGAGAATGGTACGATGTTTCCATGAATTATTTTGCATTCACAATTAACTGGCAAATATTCAGTGTATGGATTCCTGCCGTTCTTAATTGAGGGTTAACGAATCGTGGGAAACTACGAAGAGTTAAGGAATTGCGAGACAAGAACCTAAAACCCCTCGATACAACTACACGCGAATTGATCGTCGATTAGTGGAAGCTTGCTTGTTTTTTTTCATAAACAAAAACAAAGGTGTACGTTCGGTAAACAATTCACCGATCCATCACGACAGACCTTCGGTTTCGATGACACGTGTGAGTGTTTTCTGTCTGTCACTGAGACCTTCGTTTCGGTCGAGCAACCCCTCGCCTTTCCCCCACCACCCATCCACGACGAACTCCTGTGAACGTTTCTGCGTCGTTGACTTTTTTCCGCTGACCCAAGGAGAAGGAAAAAGGTACGACGATAATTTCTCTCTGTCCTTCACGGTGTTCTTGCGTCTCGCTTACCATTGCTGCGCCATTTTGTTCATGGAATTTTCCCATTCCCCGACACTTACGTGTCTGTCTCTTTTCTTGCTGATTGAAAATCGATAGTATTTATTATTATAATATTCCAAAATTTCATAGATAATATAATGTATAATTTACATTGCAATTTATTCGAGAAACAGCTGGCACTCGAGCCTCCATGTGCCGCTAATTTCGTCGCTAATTAGAAGGCTCTGTGCGTTCAATTAGTAGGACTAATCTGATTGCTTTTCGTGACCCACTTCGCCCCTCACACGTGTTTACACGTGTAAGATCGTCAGGGTACGAACACTGGTCTCACTTTTTGGTAGTTATCGACCTGGCGTTGTTTAAAAGTTTCAAGATCGATATTCGATTGAGTTAAAGATTGAGTGAATTGTTTAACGAAAGTTTGCGCTTATGAATAATAAACGATCGTGTTTTCGTAATACTGTCGATTGCTTGGATTTTGTTTGAGTATCCCCGCAAGTTATCGAAGTACGAGGGAAAATTTCGATCAAGTATAGCCGACAACAATGTATCTAAGTAGTACGAGTCAATATTAAATCGACCGTGCCCGTTGTCAGGTTCAAAGGCATTCGTTTCGCGTGTTTGCCGGGCTTACGATTTGACATTTCACGCGATTGTTCGGAGGGGGGAGAAGTGTTAGATCGTAGCGGAACGTGTTTTGACAAAGCCACCGAATCCTGGATATCGCTTTAATCCGACCGCACAGTTTCATACATCAACAGGTGCATAAAAGTACGCACGTGTTTCAACGAACCACCCTCTTATAAATATTAATCTGCCAGTTTTCGCGCCACTTGTAAGAAACTTGTCCCTATATCCTGTGGATGTGTCTGACCAGGGACAGTCGGTTTCCACTTGTTCTCTCGCACCAAATACTATAAACCAATGAATATTAATTTATCAATGGAATAAATATCCTTTAGTACAAAATTATCGTCAGAATAGAAGGACGTGCATAAAAATGAGAACAAACAATGTAATAATATTAATTATTACCAATGTGAAAAAACGAATTTCCTTAATGCTAAATATCAGTTGACTTCAATCGCGTTTCACCTATCCTACACTTGTACTCTCCGAAGCAAACTACCGTATGTCTGACTCCACACGATCTTTTTCTACTTCCTCGGTATTTTATTCTCATTCGAAAACCAGTGATCCACTTGCTCCTAGAAAGGATTAAAATTATTAAAATTCCCTTCCAAGCATGATGTGTAAGAAGCATCTTCGATTTCGAAATTCACATGGACGTCTCGAGAAGAAAATATATCTTCTGCCAATTTCGGCAGACAATTTCAGCCCTCGTTTTCCGAGCAGGACGCTAAAAGGCACTGGCACGAAGGGAGTGGCTGGTACCCGAGACGGGTCAGAAGTTTGTTTGTCGATTTAGGATCACTCATCGGCGCGGATCCGAGCCGAATACTGTCGAGATTGATGTCGAGGTCTCGAAAAACTTGTCCGGTTCGACGATCCACTCGGCCTTTCCGGCCGTCGAAATTCGGCTTTGTGCTTCGTCTTTCTTCTGGTTGTGCCGCGTCGGCGAAATATCGTATATCAACGGTAAACGTATCCCCGGCGTCGACAGAGTAGTATATCGATGCCGACCACATTTTTCGGTGGATCATTGGGTTATTTTTCACGCGGTGAAACAGGACCGCGCGCGACCTAAATCGTTTTTCAAGTGACTCGTCCCGCGGAACACACTTTTTTTTCACTTGATATTTATAGACCGCCCTTCCGATGATTTGTGCGATTCGCCAGCAGGGAAATGCGTGCTATGTTACTGCCAACAGATGTATCTCGTTACATTGTCGACTAATACAACAAATTTTGGGGTGAGACATTAAAGGGTCATGCTCAGTCAGGAGGCCGAAAAAAGAGTGTTCTTTGGGAATTTTTTTCTCATAAACTATAAGACCTTTTTCAAAAAATGTGTTTGTGTTTCAAAGAATGTAATATCTAGATTATAAGGTAATTTTTTCACGTGGGGTTTTCCGAAATATTGGTTAGGAACAAAATGGTGGAAATTTTCCTGAAAAAGTACGATTTTCACCTAAATTTTTACTAATAATAGGAATACGTTAACATTCAGAATCAGCAAGTCCACCGTTCCACGAGAAGAAAACAAAAGATTAACGGCTCGGAAAGTTATGTCCTGTGGAAAAGTTGTCGCTAAACATTATACCGGATATGAGCGCAGAATCCGCAAGTAGTACATGTCGGGAATAAATCGGACACCGGGCAGAACTTGCCGACGGAAGTTTTCGTCTGTCCAATTCCCCGTGTAACGGGGTTAATTACGCGTGCCGCGTAAAGTTTCCCCCGTGAATCGTGGGGTGACGACGACGTGTTCCGTTAACGGTCATTTCTCTTCATCTTCAGTTATCACCGGGCATTATCTTCAAAAACAGGGCCGATTGCTTCCTGCACTCTCTCGGCACCAGACGGAAAATTCCCTCTTCCGTGGATTTCGTGCCACTCACCGTCCATAAAACTCGCCTTTACTGTTCCTTCCTCGATCCTCTTTATCGCTCGTTCGACGTCGTTCGTATTTATTACAACCATCCGCAACCCTCGTTTCCCAACCCTCCAACCCTTCGCCCTCATAAGAAAATCGCGACCATTTCTCAGACGCTTCTGACCTATCGGAAATCGTTTTTGTACACGTTCCACGAGTTACACGCGTGACCATTGGCATTGGGGGGTCTACGTCCCGTGGACTGTTCGGGATTTTTTACGATCGTTGGTAGCAGACTGGAGGGGGATGAACGAGCTGTTGAGAAAGAATGAAAGCAGGGAACTGAAGTAAAAATGAGCAGGAAGTGGAGATGGATGGATTGAATGGAGATTGTTTTTAGTAATACCCTTGTCTGACCATGAGAATCTTCGTTATGCTTGTCTGACTAGGGACGGTGGTTGATCTACTTGTCATATCGGTCAAACAACAATTACGTGTCGAAAGTTCTTTCCTATTTTTAAATTGAATGATTATCGTGTAAATCTGGTGATACGGTAAAACTTAACGAACTACACGAACAAAATCAATGTTTCCCTATCCAAGAGTGCCCTTATAATTTCCGATGGCATTTCGTGCAGAAATAAAAGGTGTAGAACACGTTCAGGCAGCGTTGTTAAAATAAATAAACCATGCAACCCGAAGGTTTTCGATAAAAAAAAAGGGCGCACCGTTCATGCACACATACATTGAACTGGTTCGAAATCGTTTCGAAAATTCCACTTCGCGAATGAAAACGATGTAAACCCGACGAGCCTCATTGTTCGCCGGCTGAATGCAATCCTTTTGCCCGCGATGTTGAAAATTCCGTTTGAAAGGTTCGGTTAAAAATTTCACGGGCTTCGAGCGTCACATTGCGCGCGAAAGTACCCGTGTCCGTTTATTAATACGGCCACGGGTGACCGTGTACCGGGTGAACAGAATATTCTGGATCGTTAAAATCGATACGAAAAGCGTGGTCCAGAATTAAAATTTATCAGTTCGTAGGAGGCTTATTTATCCAGAGAAATAAAAAAATTTGAAGCTGGTGATTATATTTACGTAGAATTAATGACAAATATTTTATCGACTTTTTTTCTGAGAAGAACAATAACGCATAGAACAACCCTTCCATGGTTATCAATAAGTTGATATTAGATTTTTTTTTAATAGAAGAAATTTGTTCTTGACTATTCGAGCTGTTGAATTTTGATTCTGGAACACTGTGCATCGTAGAGTCAGCGAGACTTTCGATAAATACCGTCTACCAAGTCGTTCTGGCTCCTTTTGGACGTGGCTTTCTACTGGATAGTTGACAGTATAAAC